CTCCCACTGTGATTGGAACTTTAGTCATAAAGGAACCCCAGAGGGAGCTGAGAAGAACAAGAATTTGGCTAAGAAGTGCCTCCAGGGAAAGGATCCTGGAGCAATAGCTAATGGGGAGAGAGGGGGAAGCTCTGTGATGGTTTAATTACTTTCATGGTGAATTTAATGCTCCCTGATGGCACAAATAGGCAAGTGCCTGATTGCCAACCAAAAACTTGGCAGTTCCAAACTGGTCCACCAGGAAAAAACCCATCAATCCACTTTGGTGAAGATCACAGGCTAGAAATCCCATAGGGTCGTTCTACTTTGTCATACAAGATTTCTAAGAGTCAGAATTGACGCACTGGCACACAACAACTACAGTGATAATTTTCCCCCCTCCACTTTATTTTTATTTTATATTGGTTTGCATGTGTAATTTGTATACATTGTACATAATCAGGGTGCACTGTGTTTATACTTTCCTTCTTTCTCATGTGTTTTAAATGCTCACGTGTGTATCTTGTGTTTTATAAAATGAATCACTATTGATCTATGCCTACTATTACCTCATCTTTTCAGGTCTCCTTGGATCCTTCCCAATTCCTTCACCCCTCCCCCCCAAATCTGTAATCCTAGTGATTTCCTTCCCTCCCCACCTTCCACCCCTTGCTCCCCTGTTTTTTCCCCTTGTGGACTTTTATCCACATCTTACTAAATATCCTTCTATTTTTACAATAACAGTCTTATGCAGCATTTGTCCTCATAAAACTGAGGTAGTTCATTTAGCATAATATTACATAGTATAACATTGTGTGAATGTACCATAACTTCTCAATCCATTTGTTTAGTGATGGGCATTTACGCCATTTCCATTTTATTGCTACTATGAATAATGCTGCTATGAGGATAGGTGTACATATCTCCTTTTATGTCGTGGTTCTATTTTCCTTGGGATATATTCATATTCTTATTGTTGGGCTAGCTGGGTCATATGGGATTTCTATGTTCGGCTTTTTGAGGAAATGCCAAACTGCTTTCTAGGATGATTGTACCATTTACAATCCCACCAGCAGTACATGAAAGTTGCAATCTCTACATGTCCTCTCCAAAGTTCATTGCTTGTTGTTCTGTTAAACTTTGCTACTGCTGCTGACGTGAGCCGGTATCTCTTTGTGGTTTTGATTTGCATATCTCTTATTTCTAGTGATTTTGACGATTTCTTCATGTGTTTGCCATCTGAATGTCTTCCTTTGCGAAAAATCTTTCCATGTCTTTTGCCCATTTTGTTACTGGATTATCAGTCTTTTCTGTATAGAAGCCCTAAAGTGCTCTGCAAACTTTTGTTATGAGACCCTGGTCTGAAATATCATTGGCAAATGTTTTTCCCCAGTCTGTAGGGTTTCTTTTCACTCTGTTGGAAAAAGTTATTTTAGAACACAGGAAAGTAATCTTTAGAAGAATCAATTTTATCTTTTCTGGTTATGCATTTCTGGCCATATTTCCAAGCCCATCTATATGATAGGCTAGGAAGAAACCCTCAAAGTCTCACAAAATAATTAGACCTAGTAGGACTGTTTAGGAGAGTGGCAGGATATAAGATCAATATACAAAAATCTGTGGCATTTTTCTACAAGAAAATATGGAAAAGGGAACCCAGAATGTAATAACATTTACAAAACTAAGAGACCTGCAAAGAAACCTAACTAGAGACACAAGAGACCTCTTTATAAGGACAACTACAAGTCTCTATTGCCAGAAGCAATAAGAGACTTAAGTAAAGGGAATAATATTCCCTGTGGGAGCTCTGCTGGCCTTGTAGCAATAAGTTGTGCTACAATCTCGAAGGCACACATTTCAAGTCCACCAGTTGCTCCATGGAAGAAAAATGGGCATTCTCCTCCTGTGCAATTAACTGCCTTTGAAAAACCCACTAGAATGTCAGGTATGGGTCAGTTCTGACTCAATGGTAGACAACAACAATATGGATAGGAGGATTCAACCTGTTGAAAATTATAATCCTACCAAAAGCAATCTACATGTTAAACACAATACCAAAACAGATACCAAATTCATTATTCAAAGAGAAAAGTCAATTGGCAAGTTTGTTTGGAAAGAAAAAAGATCCTGAATAAGCAGAACACTTTTGAAAAACAATAATGAAGTGGGAGATACAGCACTCCCTGTTCGCAAAACATACTCTACAGCTGTAATAATCAAAACAGCATAGTACTGGTACAATAACAGATACATATACCAATAGAACAGAATCGAGAATTAAGAGCCCAGAAATTATTCATCTACCTACAGTCAAATGGTTTTCAACAAGGAAACAAAATCTATCAAATGGGGAAATAACAACCTCTTCAACAAATAGTGCTAGAAAAATGAAAGTTCTTCCTGCAGAGAGCTAAAGCAGGATCCACATCTCACACCACACACAATAATAAACTCAAGATAGATCTTATGGCACGAATAGGCTAGCAAATATAGCCAGAAAGGCACAAACAGGAAAGGATAAAATTGATGGATGGGACCTTCTAAAAATAAAGTCCTTATGAGCATAAGAAACTTTCCCCAATAGGCTGAGAACAAAGTCTAAAGACTGGGAAAAAAATTCATCAATGACATTTCAGACAAGGTCTTCATGAAAGTTTATAGAATGTTGCAGAGCCTCCACACGACTGATAACCCAGTAGCAAAGTGGGTGAAAACATGAAAAGATTCTTGATAAAGGAGGACATTTGGATAGACACATGAAGAACTATTCAAAATCACTGGCAATCAGTGAGATGCCAATCAAAACAACAAAGGAGTACCCTTTCACCTCAGTAGCAAAGTTAGATAGAACAGCAAACAATAAATGATGGAGAGGCTGTGGAGAGATTTAAACTGTCATGCTGGTGGGATTGTAAAATGGTGCAACCACTCTGGAAGGCACGTGAGCATTTCCTCAAAAAATTGAACATAGAAATCCCATATGACCTAGCTATTCTACATATGCCTGAAAGAAATTAGAGCTGAGACACAAACCGAGATATGTACACTTATGTTCATAGCAGCATTGTTCACAATAGCATTAAAGTGGAAATAGTCCAAATGCCTATAGACAAAGAATGGATTGAGAAACTGTTATGTGTTCAAACAATGGAATACTATGTAGCACTAAAGAACAATACTTTCCTAATATAATGTAGGAAAGTCTAGAAGGAATTATGCTGAGTGAACTCAGCCTCACAAGGGCAAACACTGCATAAGACTATTATGGTAAAAATAGAAGGTTACCTGAGCAAGATGGGCATAAACGTTTGGAAGGAGAAGGGGAAAGGGAGTGGAAAAAGGGGAAGGAGGAAAAACATTAGGATAGCAGAAGGTAGTGGGTGGAGAGGAAGGATTCAATGGGTACTTGAAAAGACGGGTTAATAATAGACATAGATCAATAGTAATTAAGTATATAAAATGGAATATTGGACATGTTGTAAGGAGAGACAGGTCCTTGGGGAGGGACGTCATGCTTGGTAGGCTGGAGGGACAGCGCAGGAGAGGAAGACCCTCTATGAGGTAGATTGATTCAGTGACTGGGGTAATCGGGATGGGTGTGTCAGAGGCAATGCGATCGGCACAGGATAGAGCAGGGTTTAGGGCTGTTGTACATAGGGTCGCTATGAGTCGCAAACGACTCGACGGCACATAACAGTAGCAACAACAACAACCATGTATATAAATCAAACACGATGTAAATAAAAAATGATCTAAAACACGTACAGGCATGAAATAATGTGTATGAATTATTGTGTGCAAACCAATAATGATACTAGAAAAGGGGGGGGAAGCCTTCAAAACCACTAGGTAGTTCTACTCTGTCTTGTAGGGCTACTATGAATGGTAATCAACATGCCAGTAGTGGGTTTGGGTTTAGTTTTTATAATCTCTGTGGACAAGTGAACCAAGTAGTGGACTGAATTTGCCTTGATCATCATCCCCATTTTACAGATGAGAAAACCAAGCTGGATGTGGAGCCCACTGTGCTGGCTCAGAGTTGGATAGGTATGTAGTGAACCAGCACTAGAGCACAAATCAGGAACAGAGGTGTGAGCCTAGTCTAAGGTGTGTGATTTGAATGACATTTTTCCCTGTTTTCCCTTCTAGTGATTCCTGGGGAAGAAAAAAAAAGAGTATCATTTTTGGGAAACAAACCATGCCCAGAGCCTGATGGTGCCAAACATCCTATACTAAAAACTCTTCAAAACGGATTTCATCTTTGGGCCTACATAGCTCTCAATCATCAGTTCATCTTACTCAGCCAAAAGTGAGTTATATCCTTTCTAACAACATTAGCATCCATGATCCTAAATTACTGAAAATAGCAGGGATAAGAGAGCAGAAATGGAAGAATCATATAGGCGACTGTAAGCAGGAACCTGAAGAAATAAATAACAGCTCCTGTCAGTAGATGGAAGCACAGATGGTACTAATTTCAAGGTTGGCAATTCAAAACTCAACTAATGGCAAAAGCAAAAGAGTATGATTTTCTGTTTCTTTAACACGTGAGTTTGCTTGAGTGCTGGCAGAGACAAATGGAAAACTTACCTCGTTTCTTTCTGGGAGCAAAGATGAATAATTAGATCAGAGAAGAAATGTAAATAGTCTATACATGTAGGTGCAGACATGTGGTTTCTAATCTTGCAGATCTGCCTGAAATTCGTCATGAATTCACAGAAGGAAGATGATGGACAATGAAAGAACTAGTGAGAAATCTGGTGCCTTCTTATTTAATACACAAGGAATCTGAAGCTCCCGTAGGTTAAAGTTGGCCAGAGGCAGAGCCAAGAGCAGTGTGACAGGCCTTAAAATCCTCTATGGTCAACTTTTTGACCATTGGAATTCCATTTGTTTATGCGGCAGGCTTCTTATTTTTGAACCATGGAGCTATCTCTTCCCCTACCTTAGCCATTCAAAGCTAAAACCACATATGCCTTCATGCTCCTGAGAACTAATCATTGGATTTTTGTTTCTTGCAGATGGCTTACGTGAAGATGAGATGTGTCTATATTTTCCTTCTGTTTCTGGGAGCCCTTTGCTTGTATGTTAGCAAGTACAATGTAACTCCATTTAAAGAAGAGAGATTTGTTTTCAAGAAAGGAAGTGGGATCTTCCTTCAGCTCCCGGAAGTGGACTGCAGGCAGAACCCGCCTTTCCTTGTCCTGCTGGTGACTTCCTCACATAGTCAGCTGGCTGCTCGCATGGCCATCAGGCATACCTGGGGAAAAGAGAAGGTTGTGAAGGGAAAACGAATAAAAACTTTGTTTCTCCTGGGTGCTGCAACCAAACAGGATGAAATGACAGCGGTGGCCTATGAAGGTCAACAACATCAGGACATTATCCAGAAGGACTTTGTGGATGTCTATTTCAATTTGACTCTGAAGACCATGATGGGCATGGAATGGGTCCACCACTTCTGCCCTCAGGCTGCCTTTGTGATGAAGACAGATTCAGATATGTTTGTAAATGTCTACTATCTGACTGAATTACTACTGAAGAAAAACAGAACAACTAGGTTTTTTACGGGCTTCTTAAAAATGAATGAATTCCCAATTAGAACAAGGTTCAGTAAGTGGTTTGTCAGTAAACATGAGTATCCCTGGGACAAGTACCCACCGTTTTGCTCTGGCACGGGGTATGTTTTTTCTAGTGACATTGCGAGCCAGGTGTATAATGTTTCTGAGAGTGTTCCCTTCATTAAATTAGAAGATGTGTTTGTGGGGCTCTGCCTGGCCAAACTGAACATTAAGCTGGAGAAACTTCACTCAGAGGAGACCTTTTTCCCTGAGGGGTTGCATTTCTCCACTTGTCGCTTTAAGAAAATTGTGGCCTGCCATTTTATCAAGCCTCCAGAAATGTTGATTTATTGGCAGGCCCTGGAGAATTCCTGGGGACAGAAGTGCCCAGTTGTTTGAAGGGAGCCAAAGGGCATAGCTGAACAAATGTCAGAGCACCACAGTGACTGTCATAGCTAAAGGATGGCAGTGCTGAGAGTCACTGGAGGGAGTAAATACTTGAGAGAGGGGGAAGATAGCCTTCTATCTTGCAGATGCAAACTAGAACACACTCATAAATGTGATCACTGATGAATTCTACATGGTGCCCCAAGAAATAATCAGTAGCATCTCTTGAGGACCTTCATTATTGCTTTAAGTGTTGAGCAGACTCATAGCACTGGCCCATTTCAATGACTGGTATCCATACAAAGCGATGGAAATTACCATCCACATTTTGCAGATGAGGAATCTGGCTCAGTGAGGCACAGTGGTCCATCCTGATGCTCCTAGTTAGCTCACCGTGGAGCAGGATGGGAAGCTAATCCTCCCCTGCCCCTTGTGGGAGAAAATGATGAGAACAGAGGCTTACAGAGAAGTTTCTGCTCTTAACTATTTTGTTCTAAATCCCCTTCATAATTCCCAGTCCTTACATTTTTGAGTTTTAACCTTAGCTTGACAAAACTCACCCCCAGCTTTCCCACTTGATGCTCTGAGATGGGTCTGTGAGTCCCTGTTAGCAGCCTGGCACGCCACACACACCACAGTCACACCTCAGAAGGTACCAGTACAGGGACTGTGGCTCCCCTCACAGGAAGTGTCCTGTCCTCGACAGAAATGGGTTTTTGTAACATGGGCTGAGAAATCCCTGCAGGCCCAGCTGTTGTCAGACACCCCCAGTGCATTGCTCTCCTCATCATGCAGGACAACTTCTCAGAGCTGACTGGGGGGTTCACTTGTTTGTTCTTTGGTCCCTGGGAACTAGCCACAGCCCTTTGAGTACTTCAGTTTTTCAGTACAAATGAAAAAGACAGCTGCGCACAAGAAATGGTCTGTGCAGGATTCTGGGAACTTCAGCTGGGCTTCAGTTGCACTTATGCCAAAGAACCCGGACACATCCAGGCCCTGGTAAAAGGTGTCTCCCTCCGTACCTTCTCCACCCTGACCCAGGCTCATCTTACCTGAATTTCTCAGCTGTCCAGGAACAACTTAAGTTTGGAGTTTCTTCTCACTGGAGGTTTTCATGAGCCTGTTTTCCAGGGTGTGTGAGGCAACGTGGTACGTCTTCCCAACTGCTCTCGGACCACAAGCAAATAAAGTCATCTTGCTGCTGACCCCAGGAATGATTGTTTTTACTTTGGTTTTACTTGGCTTTATGAAGTACCTAAAGAAAAGGTATCACACAGCTCCACCATTTAGCCATGCCTGACTAAATCCCTAACCTGAACTCAGGAAAATATATTTGTTGCCAAACTGGTGAAGACGTTGTTAAACCACTAAGTGAGCTCTTCTAGCATCCTAATTTTGCACAAAGTTTTTTGTGTCTTAATTGTGCTGCTGCTTGGCAGGTGGGTTTGCTCATTCTGGCTGCTCTGAGTGCCCCTGTCTTACTCAGCCTAATCTCAGGTTGCAAATGTGGAATCTAAGCTTGTTTTTTATGCCCATATTTCATAAGAGCTGGGCCCATTGGAGCTATAGCCTCAGATTCTGAAGACAATGATGTGTTCGAGAGTGAACACGCTCGTCTGCCTGTGGGGCTGAGTCTGTACTCATGTTTTCACCTTGTTAGATGTGAATCTTTGTGGCCCTCAGACATGGTGGGCAGTAACTGAGGTGCTCTGGACATCAGCCTGCAACCTTGGATCACAGGAAACAGGAGTGGGCCTTGCTTGGACTTTTTTGTCTGAAGGGTTTTCTGCAAATCTCTTTTCTTTCTCCAATATTTATAAAATAAAGACATTCGCTATGGGATTAGTGATATATTTCATGATTGTTGAAACTAGAAGGGCCCTTGGAGTGTAGACAGTCCCTTCTTTACTTTTATGCAAGATGAGCCCCAAGATCAGGAGCTGGTTAGCAGTGGAATCGGGGTCCTACCTAGTGTGTGTTTGCTGAGGCCATCTTGCCTATGCAGAGGGGTAAGAAGCAATAAATTCACTAACAAAGGGACAAAGCAGTCCTTTCTGGAGAATGCACAAGGCTCTTTTAAGGTGTTTAACAAGGGCTGAGGAAGAGCCAGGGCTGTGGAGTGGTGACACAGAAGCTTCATATACAGCTTCCAGGAGAAGAAGGGTTTCAATGAACACTATTTACCTCATATTAAAAGAAATACTTTCTGTGTAGTGATTCATTTAAATACTCACAATAACCCCATGGAGGAGGCTATTATTCTGGTTTTATATATGATGAAACTGAGGCAGAGAAAATTTCAGTGTAGTCCATAGCAAATTTCACCACGAATTCAAAGGCTGCATATCTGGTGGATCCAAACCAGCAGCCCTGTGGGAGAAATGTGGCCAGTCTCCTTCTGTTTTGATTTACAGTCATCTGTGTTGAAAGCAACCCTTTGGTGGTGAGTGAGATCCCAAAGTTACATGGCTGAAAGTTACAGGAAAGGGCTATGACCACAACCTTCTGTGTATATTTATAACAACACTGTGCCCCTGGGAGTCTCCCTAGCTGTCAGCTTACCCTCTACTCCACTCCAGTGTTGCAGGGGACTTGGGTGCTCACTGCATTGGCTGCATTTTCAGGTACTTCTCTGTCCCCACTAGGACACATACCCACTGCAGCTTCTGAGCTCCTGTGTTCTCCCTGTCACTGTGACTTAAAGAAATGAACCATTAAACTTCATAAAGCAGCTCCTCCATTTTGAACTTTGTTTCCAGCCCTCATGTCCTCAAGAACACAGTTCTTGCACTTGTCCTTGCCCTCTATGAATTGTTCCCAGAAGCATGCAAACACTATTTTCCTCATCTTAAAAAAAACCCTACAGTTTTCCCTTGACCTCATGGTTCCTGTAGCTACTGCCTCATTTATTTACTCCTTTTGCAGTTAAACTTCACAGAGGAGTTTTATCTTTACTTCAGGCCCTTTCCTCTTTATTTATTCGATTGAATTTTTTTTAATTGTGCACCAAAATATTTGTCACTATTCTTTCCCAAAATACTCCAATGCTATTAATGTAATCTCAAATCAACTTGATGGCAATGAACAATGAAATTGCCCTTAAATCCTTGTAGGCAGGGCTGGTGGTGTGGTCCATTGGGGACTGGGCTCTAAACTAGAAGCTATGTTTCTCCAGTGTCTCAAAATCACCTGTGGCTCCATGGGAGGAAGGTGGACGATCTCCTCTTGTGGTTTACATCATCAGAAGCCCATTGAAGGTCAGCTATGAGTCACTATCCACTCAACATACTCAAAATACTTGACTTGAAATCCCCTGTGGACAGAGTTGGCATTGCCCACTCCACCTTGGTGGTGCATATCATATCATATCATGGTGGTGTCACGTGACTGGACATGGCAGTCAGTCCTCAACTCACTTAGCCTCTGGCTTCAGACACTGCTGGTAACATATTTGCTTCTTTGGTGAGGCCCCATCACTAACTCCCACAAGATTCAGTGCCCTTGCTTTCCTTTTCTCACCAGTACTCCTCTTCTGTCGTCTTTGCTAGTTCCTTCTGTCTACACTGACCTTTTAGTGCTAGAATGTACAAGGATCAGATGTGGTCCTCCAGCCTTCTCCAGTTATGTTCATTCTGTTGATCCCAGCCATTTGCACAACTATACATTTCAGTTATACTGATGTTGCACCCAGATCTCCTACCCAGAGCCCTCACTTGCTTTTCAGTTTGTTGGACATTGGATAATGAGAAAATCCAAAATGGAGCTCCTAAGTCACACGTTTCCCCACCTCCCACCTCCCATTGCATAATCCATTCCATCCTCAGCCTTCCCTATCTCTGTAATAGTGACACCAGCCTTCATATGGTTGATGCCAAAGATCTTGGAGTCATCCTTAAATCCTCTTAGTCACTGCACCTAAGAAGATTATCTTCAAATTATATCCAAAGTCCAACCACTCTCCTCTATCATCCTCTCTCATCCTCTAGCTGGTGCCCTCATCCCCACTCCCAGATTCTTTTACTGTTTCCACCACATAGCATTCAGAGTGAATCTTTGAAATTTTAAGCCAGAGCCTCTCTGCTTAAAACCCTGTAGTGACTTCCCATTGCATTTAAAAAAATTATCTTTAATGTCATTATTTGCCTTGGTTATTTTTTAATCCTGTGCTGTTCCTTGAACATTGCAGTCATTCTTCCATGCCAGGGCTTTGGCGCTGGATGTTCCTCTGCTTGGTACATCTTTCCTCACATCCTATCAAGACCCCATAGGTCAAACATTGTATGTGACTGCATTTAACTCCCATCCCCAAGTCTCCTTACCTTGCTCTTATTTTTTTTTTATTTCACTCTACTTATTTCTAACAAAGCCTTTGTTATTTTTAGGTGATTTTGAGTCAAATACAACTTAGTGGTCATATGAACAACCGATCTGAACCTTGCCTGATTGTATGCCATCATCACAAAGTCTATAATACCTATTTCTTATAATGAATTTTTTATTTTTTTATTTGCATCCACTTGTAGGTGAGCTTTCTGGGAAAATAGATTTGTGTCTGTTTTGGTCAATAATATGGCTCACATTTTTAGCCCACTACTTTGTACTCAGTAAATGCTTAATTAACACTGGTTGTATGGAACTCAAGAAACCATTGTAGAATATTGTTTTTAAAAGAAAATAAGTGGATGTGGACAAGTGCAAGAAGGATTTATAAGATATAATTAATATATTGTTGTTCTGTACCATTGAGTTTGAACCAACCCACTAGTTCTGCATAAATCTGTAAATGGAAAGTGGGTGCATTTTGGCTGAAAATTTTCATCTAAAAATCTGGGAATGATATTCAACAGTTATTCATTCCCTGGCCCCCCTTTTCTCTGTAATAGAAAACCTCATACACTGACATGTAAATAGAATCATATTATGTCTTCACTTTCATGTCCTCCAGCCTCGTGCACGGCCAATCACAGCTGATCTCAATCCCACTTCTGTTGCCTTTGGTACCACTTTTCTGA